GTTTTAGGTCCCCGAAGATGAACAATACTTCTTAAAAAAAGATTGAGTTTGTTGAATTGAGTTTTGGTTCCCATGATTGGACGTTGATGAAGAAAAGTTGAAATCTGTAGCTCGTTTTCAAGAAAAAGTATGATCCTACCGACCAATGACGCCACTTGCGAATATGGAAGTCGCGAACGTAGAAGGTTAGCACGAAAACCGTAGCATTTCTCCAATCGTGGATGTTCCGAAACTCACAAATAAGCGAATGTTTAGGGATTACTGCGTAGGTATTCTTTAAGGTGTTTCTTGTATGTAGTTGAAAACAGTTTGTGAAGTGAGGAGAGAGGAAACTATCGGATTCTTCTGTAATCCTCCCCCTTACAAATTAACTAGCCCACTCCAACGTTATGCTCAATGGTATTCATGTAATTATTACCCGGAAGATTTAAAAGTATTACCTGTGTAGATTATATTATTCTTGTAAAGCAAATAGAATCCCGAAAGCGTTTAGTGGGAGGGAGCACTTAAAGTCAGAAGGTCCCCATCACTCTCACAGACTCTTTCGCTGCCCCCTTCTCTCTTCTCCCTCTCTCGCTCCCTCTCTCTCTCCCTTTCCCCTTCGATCTCTCTCTCCCTCCTCTTCTCCTTCTCTCTCTCCCTGCTCTCTCCTCCCTCTCTCTCTCTCTCTCTCTTCTCTCCCGCTCTCTCTCTCCCTCTCTCTCTCTCCCTCTTCTCTCTCTCCCTCTCTTTCTCATCTCCCTCTCTCTTCTCTCCTCTCTCTCTCCCTCTTTCTCTCTCCCCTCCCTCTCTCTCCCCTCTCTCTCCCTCTCTCTCTCCCCCTCTCTTTCTCTCCCTTCTCTCCTCCCCCTTCTCTCCTCTCCCCCCCTTCTCTCTCTCCCGCTCTCACTCACTCCCCCAACCTTCTATCCTCTTCTCCCCGCGCCCCCCCGCACCTCTCATCTCTCCCCTCTCTCTCTCCCTCTCTCTCGCCTCTCTCTCACTCTCCCTCTCTCCCTTCTCTCTCCCTTCCCTCTCTCTCTCCCTCTCCTTCTCCCTCTTCTCTCCTCTCCGCTCTCCCCTTCTTCTCCTCTCCCTCTCTCCTCTCTCTCCCCTCCTCTCCTCTCTCTCCCTCTCCCTCTTCTCTCCCCTCTCCCCTCTCTCTCCCTCTCCCTCTCTCTCCCTCTCCCTCTCTCTCCCTCTCCCTTCTCTCCCTCTTCCCTCTCCCTCTCTCCTCCTCTCCCTTCTCTCTCCCTCTCCCTCTCTCTCCCTCTCCCTCTCTCTCCCTCTCCCTCTCTCTCCCTCTCCCATCTCTCTCCCTTCTCCCTCTCTCTCCCTCTCCCTTCTCTCTCCCTTCTCTCTCCTCTCTCCCCTCTTCCCTCTCTCTCCCTCTCTCTCCCTTCTCCCCTCTCCCTCTCTCTCCCTCTCCCTCTCCTCTCTCCTCCCTCTCTCTCCCTCTCCTCTCCCTCTCTCTCTTTCCCCCTCTTCTCCCTCTCTCTCCCTCTTCTTCTCCCTCTCCCTCTCTCTCCCTTCTCCCTCTCTCTCCTCCCTCTCTCTCTCCCTCTCTCTCCCTCTCTCTTTCTCCTTCTTTCTCTCTTCTTTCTTTTCTCTCTTTTCTTTTCTTTCCTCTCTCTTTCTTTCCTCTCTCTTTCTTTCTTTCTCTTTCTTTCTCTTCTTTCTTTCTTCTCTCTCTTTCTTTCTCTCTCTTTTCTTTTCTCTCTCTTTCTTTCTCTCTCTCTTTCTTTCTCTCTCTTCTTTCTTTCCTTCTCTGCTTTCTTTCTCTCTCTTTCTTTCTCTCCTCTCTTTCTTTCTCTCTCTCTTTCTAGTTTATTTCTCTCTCTCTCTTTCTCTCTCCTTCTTCGCTCCCTCTCTTTCCTTTCTCTCCTCTTCTTTCTCTCTCTCTCTTTCTTTCTCTCTCTCTCTTTCTTTCTCTCTCTCTCTTCTTTCTCTCTCTCTTTCGTTCTCTCTCTCTCTTTCTTCTCTCCTCTCTTTCTTTCTCTCGCTCTTTCTTTCTTCTCTCTCCTCTTTCTTTCTTTCTCTCTCTCTTTTCTCTCTTTCTCTCTCTCTTTCTTCTTTCTCTCTCTCTTTCTCTTCTCTTTTTTCTCTCTTTCTCTCTCTTTCTCTTCTCTCTTTTCTTTCTCTCTCTTTCCTTTCTCTCTCTTCTTTCTCTTCTCTCTTTCTCTCTCTCTGTCCTCTCTTCTTTCTCTCTCTCTCTTTCTCTCTCTCTTTCTCTCTCCTCTCTCTTTCTTCTCTCTTCTTTCTCTCTCTCTCTTTCTCTCTCTCTTTCTCTCTTCTCTTTCTCTCTGCTCTTTCTCTCTCTTCTTTCTCTCTCTCTCTTTCTCTCTTCTCTTTCTCTCCTCTTTCTCTCTCTCGCTTTCTCTTCTCTCTTTCTCTCTCTCTCTTTCTCTCTCTCTCTTTCTCTCTCTCTTTCTCTCTCCGCTTTTTCTCTCTCTTTCTCTCTCTTCTTTCTCTCTCTCTTTTCCTCTCTTCTCTTCTCTTCTCTTTCTCTCTCTCTTTCGTT